CAATTTTGAGGTAAAAATTGTTCATTTTCAGGCCAAAATTCCCATTTTCGGGACGAATTTTTGAGGTAAAAATTGTCCATTTTCAGGCCAAAATTCCAATTTCAGGGACGAATTTTGAGGGAAAAATTGTTCATTTTAAGGTCAAACTTACCCAGGTCTGACGTGAGTTTGCCTGGAAGGAAAAGAAATCAAGGAAAAATCACTTTAAATTGGTTTTTATATCCCGGGAAACCCAAGCCAGCCCCCCTAGGAATGGGAAAAACCCCAAAATTCCTGTTTGGGATCGATCAGAGAGTCCCCAAAAGCCCCAAATTCCACCAAAAAAACCCCCCAAATCTCCCCCAGGGCCCCCAAAATAATTTAATAAATTCCCAGGGTTGTAATTCCAGGAGGAAAAGGGAAAAAGGAACTTACTGATCCTCCTGTCCCGTTCCTCTGGAAAAAGGGAAAAAGGGGATAAACAGGAAGGGAAAAGGGAAGAAAAAATAAATATAAAGGGGGAAATGAGGCAGAAAATAAATCCCAAAATTCCACTTTTCCTCCCAAAATCCTCCTTTTTTCCCCCTAAATCCCCCTTTTCTCCCCCAAATTCCCCTTTTCCCCCCAAAATTCCCCTTTTCCTCCCAAAAACCCCTTTTTTCCCCCAAATCCCCCTTTATCCCCCCAAATCTCCCTTTTTTCCCCAAATTTCCCTTTTTTTCTCCTAAATCCCCCTTTTCTCCCCCCAAAATCCCCTTTTCCCCCCAGATCCCCCTTTTTCCCCCCAAAATCCCCCTTTTCCCCCCCAAATCCCCCTTTTTTTCCTCCCAAATCCCCCTTTTTTTCCCCAAAACCCCCCATTTTCCCCCCAAAATTCCCCGTTTTTTCCCCTAAATCCCCCTTTTTTTCCCAAAATCCCCCTTTTTCCCCCCAAAACTCCCCGGCAGGACTCACCCAGCGAGGCCGTCAGCTGGTCTGGGAATAACAGGGAGAGAGAGGGAAATAAATCCGGGATTTCCTGTGGAATTCTGGGCCCTTCCCACAGGAATTAAACCTTTCCTGCCCCTCTGGGTGACACCCCCCGGGAAAAACAGGGAAAATCGGGGCTGGAAAAGGGAATTTTGGGGTGAAATTTGGGGTTTCGAGGGGAAATTTAGGAATTTCGGGGTAAAATTTAGGGATTTCAGGGTGAAATTTAGGGATTTCAAAGGGAAATTTAGGGATTTCAAGGTGAAATTTAGGGATTTTGGGCAAAATTTCATATCAGGCCAAGAGAGGAGGATAAATCCTGGGAAACTGGTGGGAAAATCCCAAGGGAGAAAATTCAGGACTCACCAATTTCAGCCGTGAGTTCACCTGGAAACGGAGAAATTTGGGGCTGAATTCCCTGGAAACGTGGAATTTTCCCAATTCCCCCAACCCCCCCAAAAAAAACTCACCAATTGCTGCAGTTTCACCCCAAAAGAGAAGGAGAAAAAGAAAAAAAAAATCAATTTATTGATTTATTTTCACTCCAGATAATTATTTCACTCTCAACAGCAGGAAATAATCCCAGTTTTAAGTGGATTTATTCCCTTCATCCCACGTTTATTCCTCCTGTTTGTCACTTTTCCAATTATTTTGGGGATTTTTAAGACTTTCCCTTTCTGTTATTGGGAATTTTAATTAAAAAATCAGAAATATTATAAATAAAACAGCAATAATCCACTTATTTAGAAGAACCTCCTCGTTAACAATATTATCACTTATATCTTTTCATATATAGTTTAATTATATATATTTTATATTATATTTATATAAATTATTTATGTATTTTAATGATATAATTATGAATAATTATATTATTATTTAGCAGCGTTTGGACCCCAAAACTCACCATTTTCTGTGTCACATTCCTCTGAAAACAAAAGGAAAAAAAGGGAATTTAAAACCCAAGTCCCCCCTTTTCCCCCAAATCCCCTTTTTTTCCCCCAAATCCCACTTTTTTCCCCAAATCCCCCTTTTTTCCCCAAACTCCCCTTTTTTCCCCCCAAATCCCCATTTTTCCTCCCCAAATCCCCCTTTCTTTCCCCAAAAAAATGATTTTTGCCTCCAACAAAGCAAAAAAACCCCAAAA